CTTCGTTAGGTCAAAAGCAGAAATTCCCTGAATAGCTTCAATTTGAATGAATTGACACTAAATATGTACTATCATTATGAAACATTTTTGTCACCTTTTCAACCGACTTCAAAAAAGGAGGAGGTTCTCAATTCGACCCGTATGTTTTTTTTTTTTTTTTTTTTTCTATGTTTGTTACGCGATAACTCCGCCAATTATGAACCGATTTGAACAAATCTTTTTTCGGCGTATNAAGTATCAATCATGGTATACTTACATAAATATTAATAATTCGTCCTAATAAATAAGTAGGTAATTAGTAATTATTTTTCTACGTTTTAGTGTAGGTTTTTTGGAGTCGGTTTTATTTTTTTTTATAATCATTATTATAGAACTTAGATAAGGCACTAAATAAAATTAAATATGTATGTTGTTATTACTTCAACTCTTACTTTGGAATATTGAGACCTCAAATAATACATTTTTATTGAGCTGACTAAATAAGTTACTTAATAATTATACTGATTGTAAATTAAGTACCTACTTATCTCTGAACTCAACACTTAAGCGACAATTAATGTCACTTAAATAAAGTTTGAACTAAGTTTTTGGTAATTACCACTGCTAACCCACTTATCGTTTTTGACGCTTATTTGGAAACTTATAATTACATTTTAGTTTTTAACGGGAACTCATTAATTCGTTCAATTAGTAGTCAATTTAAATAACCGTCAGCGTTTCGTTGAAATTATAAAATATCAGTTGACAATTTTCAGGATCAATCATAAATATTAATTTTAAACGATAAACTTGCTAATTCTTGAAAATACATAAAACATATTAATTTATTTACCAAAATAAAAACTTTTACAGTAACAATATGTTTTAACCATGCAGGTAGGTCTGCACAGACTTATTATAATTGAGAAGTAAGTATACCCTAAATATACTTAATTTAAAAACTTCAATTGTGTCGTAATGCCCAAGAAAATATCACCTAAGTAACTCCTAAGTAAGTGATAAATTACCACACCAGCCAACATACTTACATGACTACCAGACAAATGCCCTGGACAAAAATCCTCCTAATTTCTGCCTCGCGATAGCTTGCAATTAATCAGGTTACATTACGCACGCTCGCCGCCTCTATATATAACCGGTCTCGACAATAAGAAATATTATTAAGAATATTGCGGTAAAGGCTCTCCATTGAACCGAGACGTATGTCCATATATTTCAGTCTACGACGAAAGGCAGTGAGCTTAGTGCGAAGACAATTTCGTAGTCAATGCAAAAATTAACTCCTGTATCCTATACTTGAAAAGTATTTAACGGTCTTATTTATTTAGCAGTTCTATAAACAAATAATGATAATAGCAGTCCTATAAAAAAATAATGAAGGTCGTAGCTACACACCGTAGCAAATCGTCTACGAAAAGTCGTAGCGATGCGACAGAAAATACATCGTTGGAGCTTTTAAATAGGCTATGCTAGCTGTTCTTTTGCAAGTTTTTATCGCTGAACATATAAAATCAAATGCTTTGTCCTAAATTACTTACCGACTGATGGATTAACGCTCAGCCTAAACCGCTGATCGTAGAGACCTGAACCTTAGTGTAGCCGCTTCGCTTGTCTTTTAAAAAAACATAAATACGTAAAAAATAGATGTAAAATTGGGAATTACCAAAAGTTACATATTTTTTGTTTATGTGTCTGCCTACACGTTAATTTCGTTAGCTGCTACCGGAGGTTCCAAGAAAAAGCAAACTTTATTTAATTAAATTTAATTTAAAAATATGAAATTACAATAAAAGTAAAATTAGGTAAGCTAGTGATACCGTCTCGAAGTATGAAACAAATATGATTATAAAATAATTAGTAAAATTAATGAAACGTCGCCGCTGTCGTCATGAGAGGCGCATTTTGCTGATGCTGCTCCTCGTGGTCCATAGTGCAGTTGCAATGTTGATTTGGGTAAACTGGGTCAGCGTCGATGCAGCGATCTTCATAGATTAGGCGTACGTAACACGTTGTTACACGTGGATAGCGCTGCGCCTCGCAACGTAAACGCGTCCACTCCGCGTCGCCTGCGCGTAATGATGTCACAAGTTTCAGATCACGCCGCGACCAGGCCGTAACTCGACTATATTGACCACGACCATTTGCATTTATTTCACTTGCGAAAAAGAAATCTACAGGTACAGGACACGTGGATAGCACTCCGCTGCGCCTCGCAACGTAAAGGCGTCCATCCGCGTCGCCTGCGCGTAATGATGGCACAAGTTTCAGATCACGCCGCGACCAGGCCGTAACTCGACTATATTGAGCCCGGCCATTTGCATTTATTTCACTTCAGAAGAGAAATCTACACGTATCTACACGTGGATAGCACTCCGCTGCGCCTCGCAACGTAAACGCGTTCGCTTCGCGTCGCCTGCGCGTAATGATGGCACAAGTTTCAGATCACGCCGCGACCAGGCCGTAACTCGACTATATTGAGCCTGACCATTTGCTTTTATTTCACTTGCAGAAGAGAAATCTACACGTATCTACATGTGGGTAGCACTCCGCTGCGCCTCGTAACGTAAACGCGTCCACTCCGCATCGCCTGCGCGTAATGATGGCACAAGTTTCAGATCACGCCGCGACCAGGCCGTAACTTGACTATATTGAGCCCGACCATTTCCTTTTATTCCACTTGCGGAAAGGAAATATTGAGAACATAAGAATAATAACACTCGTCGTATAACAAGGATATGAGATACTCTGATTTTAAAAGGCTTTGGAAAAGCTTATTAATAACACCTCATTGGAAAATTTACGGGACCTGAGTTTCAGTTTTGTTTTCAGGTAATAAACAATATTGACTGTAAAATTTAATTGAATTAAGAAAACAATACTGTTGTTGTTGAAAGTAGTCCACAATAACTGAACTGTTTCCTGAACAATTAATATCGACTCTACCTTTACTCTTTAAGTTTACACACTATGATTGAATCAAAGTAGGGAAGATAGAATAACCCTTTACATTGAATAAACATGGCTTCACCTTTACATTAACACTTGGGAAAGTATTTGGATAGGACCAAATGACATGTCACAACCTTTAGGTTTTTAGCAATCCATTAAAATTAATGAAGCTTACTACAAGACGTGATGTGTCACATTTCGACTATTAAATAGCATTTATAATCATGTTACATGTTTTGATTGTGAGATCAATTTAAAAATGTATCGAGGTGTGTAGTACATAAAGTTAATATACCTTTCCAAAGGACTATTAACTTTATGGTATAGTGTGCAATAAAGTGTATTATATCTATCTATCCAAATAATAACATAAAATACGCTCAAATAATAAAAGATGAACATTTAAAATACAAAGTTATGATTGGATGTTACAAAAAAATTAGAAACATTCCTTCCTTCTTTCCTGTAAATATTGTTCAGCAAAACCAACGTCATAAGCATGTTAAAATTATGTTTCTATTTGTCGAGTCTAAATATTGAAATACCCTAAGGTTTACTATCTGTTAACATTAATTAGTTCGCGACACAGATTGCGTCAATATTTTGAATTGGCCATCGATCCGTTCCATACGCTAATTAATTTCAGGTCTGGGGTTCCGTACTCAATATCTATAATATCAAGGCGACGAGATTATTTATGTGTGTGTTCAGTACGAACTTCAAAGGCTCAGCTCTACCGTGTTAAGGTTCTCATTTACATCTGTCTCAATAATTTAATTTAAAATCAATATGTCCCAGAATCCCACATCGTATGGATTTCCTTTGTTTCAAAAGATTGATTTCTATTGAAATGGTATTGAGAGTCAGTGGAAAACTTCTCGGAAAACTTGGAATACCCAACGTCAAATCAAATTTTACTCTTGGTTGTGTAAATTACTTCTCAATGTGTTGAAAATCAATAACAACTACTTAACTGGTAATATACGCCTTGCATTATGGATACAGCTCTATAGACTCTATATGGGGTGAAAATAGAAACATAAAGTAAGTCAGGATTTCATTTCCTGGGAAAAACGACGAATGATTCCGACAGACGAATACTTTGGTGCTTAAAATTCTTGTAATACCTTCCAACCTGTCCCTTTCATACTATTACTGGAAATGTAAACTGCAATATCGTTCCATTCCAGAGAAAATAATTTACACAACATTTCCCAGTATACAAAGAGTGGCGGTCACAGGGTTATGATTTCTATTTTTAGTTGTTGTGACCTTTACATTTGCCACGATTAACTCGGGTGTTAGATAGTATAAAATTAACTCGTAGAAATGTAAAATAAAATAATATATTAAATAAATAATAAATAAATATCCTTAGACATTTTACACTCCGTTTCTAGTCCCAAACTAAGCAAAGCTTGTACTATGGGTACTAGACAACGGATATAAACATACTTAAATACTTTTTTTTTGTAAATACATACCTATTATACATAGAAAACACCCAGTCCAATACAAACAAATGTGTTCATGCACACAAATGTTTGTACTGTGCGGGAATCGAACCCGCAACCTCCGGAATAGTAGTCCGTTTCGAACCACTACACCAAACGGCCGCCTAAAATAATATATATATTTGTTATTCAAAAAAGCTAGCAAGCTCTTGTTTAATATGATAAACAAATGGTATTAAAATGAATCTTATGTGAAAATTAAAACAAATACCTACCTACCATAGGTAGGGTACCTATCATAAAATAAGATTTAAAACACAAGTAGCCTTTGTCTTCCCTGAAACAGTATTAAAAACCATAAAGGCTGAATGAAATACTCAAACTACTCCTAAGTTTTTAATTAAGAAGAACAAAACACTGGCTAAAATCGGCCTCTATTCATTTGTTTCAATATAAGTTCCAAAACCAAAAATTCAAAAGTAAAACCTTTCCACGCTCGCAAATTGAAAGCGATTCCATCCACATGTTGCTTCAGGGCGCTGAGTGCATCTGCCGGGATGGGCGGGCGGCTGCTGCGCCGCGCCGCCCAGTGGATCTCCGACCGCCGAGCTGAGCGCACGCTCGCACTCACGCACCCGCCGGTACGCCCCCCGCGCCCCCACACCCCTCCCCTCCCATAGGGTTGCCAGCGTCTGACAGGCGCGCTTTCAAATTTCGCGCGCAGCTGTCAAACGACAAAAGTCCCACCCTATTCGAGCACTATCAATGCAGTTTGAAACTGAAAATTGTGCTTCTTTGTCACCAAAACTTAGCCAAATGAATTAACATTTTGCAAACTATCCAATTTGAAAGCGCTCCTATACATAGTGTGACTTAGCACGATCTTAGATGCACCAGTTATCCCTCACGTGCTTTGAATTATCTGGAGATGCTAACTTGAGTGCCAATTCTAGATGTAAGACAAGGAGCCGATGCGTACGTACTTAGTTTAAGTTAACTATAGTTTACTTTTTTTAATCTTAAACGAGAAGTTTAATGACTGGCATTATTGATGAATTAACTTTTTTAGAAGTGTCCAAATGCGAGTGTTATGTGGCAACCCCAACCTCTATCGCGCAACCCGATACATGTTGCGCGACGATACTTACAAACTTTATCAAATCCTGCGCAAATGTAGTCATCAGTAGAGTCATTAGTTAGCTGCATGGATGTGTTTATGTAGTATTACGAACGAGCTGATCGAAGTGGGTGTATTTATGTCGTGAGAAGAGTAATGTTTACGCTAACGTGCGTCGGATGATCGGAACGGCGCGTGTTTACGCTGAAGCCCCATTCGAAACGCGACGGTTATTAAGTGTTGCATAAAACAGTAAACTGCTTTGAAGCGACGAACGAGGATCTAAGAAACAAAACAAACACACTAAAAACTGAAATAACAGCGTTTTTAGAAATTTCTAGCTAACTGCCACACATGCGCCTTACTGCGTTGTTTTTGACACTGCGCAGATATAAACTTTTATAATGGAGTTGTATTTGAGGTAGCCAAATTCTTATGCCATATGTCAAAGTTAGCGTAGGTGTGGCAGGCGTATGAGGATTCAAAACGCCTCTCTCTAGGTATTCATCGCACGTATTCATAGTAAGCGTTTATAATTTTCAAAACTTATATTTTTTCAGTTTTACTTTACATCTATCGTTGTACCACACACTAACTTTCGAATACACCACTTACCTGACGCACGGTTGCGGACGTTTTTGTCATCTACCCCTTAAATTTAATTAATGTAGCTAAGTAAATTCTTTAAATTTTGATCAGATATTGTAATTGGCTTAATATAAGACCATTTTATGGGGTGGAGGGTTGATAACCTGAGATACAGGATTCATCCTAGTTCAGTGTGCCTACCATGAGTTTACGTTAGGTGTGCTCGCTAGCGACTGCGTAAAAAAATGACATTTAAATGTATGCCATATTGTGCAGCGCCCCTAGCGGCTGCTTTCAAGAAATAAAATCTTCATAGAATTTTTTGACGTATTCGCTAGCGAGCTCACCTAACGTAAACTCATGGTAGGCACACAGGTATTAACCCACCATAGTTGCATTTTGTATACAATACTATTATAATTGTTAATTATTTGTGTTCTATGGTGAGAAATAAAGAATTATTTAGTATCGTGTTACCAAACATTACGAGCTATCAAAGGTTTAATTAAGTGTTAGGAAAACAACTTATAAACTACTAATACTTAGTTCCGTAGAAACAAACGTATTCAATTTTTGTTAGCAAAATATAGGTAGGTATCATTTTCTAACAATGAAACCTAAAATAACTTCTTCAATGAATTTTCCTTTGTCCAAAAGACAATAAAAACCTGGGTATACTAGTAGGCTCTCCATTAATCAAATTTTCGTATGAAATGTCTCCCTTTCAAACTCACCTTCACATTTACAAACAAGGACGAATCTTATTTAAGTCTCTTAAAGTGAAATCTACGTAAATATTTTCTAAAATTACCATATTATATTAGATACGCTCGAGTGTTGTTTATTAAAGAGATTTACATGAAAACCTAAATGTTTGTTTATACGTTACATTATTAAATGGCAGTTAAGAGCTGTATAAATATGTACGTTTCATTATGTAAACTTTTTAAATACACTAAACTAAATGCTCATGGGTTTTGCTTTGAAGATAATTTGGGATTATGGTCTCAATGATTAATGTTTGAAACAATTCCTCCTAGTTTCCCTTTTCTCTAGGAAAACCACATTTGAATGATAACCAGCAAACCAACCTTTATGCAATGACTAGCGGCCGCCCGCGACTTCGTACGCGTGGATCCCGTTTTACCCCCTCAGGAGTTTAATTTTGCAAAATCCCGTCTTAGTGAGCACCTATGTTCTAAAAGGAAGCCCCATGTTTTGAGACTCCTAGCATTTAAAGTTTCAGACATTTCGTGATGTTCAGTCAGCCAGTGACCTTTTGCTTTTATAGATATAACTAGATAACCAGCAATCTTGTCAAAAACCTGACCACAAAATTGAATGTTTTCCAAAACAAAACTCACAACAACTACAAGAAATAAAAGTTGCTAGTGGATACTAGCAACTTTTATTTCTTGTATCAAAAATCTTTTTACGTTTGAAACTGTATCTCTATGTTTACAGCTATTTTAAAGAATCTCAGGGGTTTTATTCTCAATCTTCATCAAAACGAAAATATACATAATTTCCGAAATATAATCGCATAGATCAACCGTCGGAGTTTGCAGCTCTGCATTAATTCAAAATCCCTTCGTATTTTTGATGCCCCTATTCCCAAAGCAAATTGAAATTTCAGTTTTGAATGTTATTACTCTTTGCCGCGCGTTTCTCGTAATTCCCTTTATTAAAAAAGTTTCTCATAGTACCAACTGCTATAATTTCAAGGTTTCATTTATTAGTTATGTTTAGGTACCTACTTACATTTTCATTTATTCATGTATTCTAGGACTCATTTCTAACATCATTCATCCATAACATCTTAAATGCCACTCTTGTAGCGGAGTTTTGGGCTGGTACTTACTGGTGACACTTTGTAGGTTCGTTGTCGACACGACAAGAAAAAGAAATAAAACAATCAAGATTTTTTAAAGAAACTTATGAATCCGTACCCTTTTACTCATTGTTATCAGTACCTCTAGTAGGAAAAACTTTCGAGTTCGTTTCGTTGCGTATTCAAAGTGTCATCGAAAAATTTTGTATGAAAAATTAAACAGCGCCCCCTATATTATAGCCGCCCTAGGGGGCGCTGTTTAATTTTTCATACAAAATTTTTCGATGACACTTTGAATACGCAACGAAACGAACTCGAAAGTTTTTCCTACTAGAGGTACTGATCTTAATTCATTTGTAGCTTTGATTCACTATTCGTTAGCTTTGATTCACTAAGGCTAAGTTGCACCAACTTACTTTGACCGTAACTTTGACAATAACCAGTGCTTTTTGTATGGAGTTTGACAGATTTTTGACGTTTGTCAGAGTTAAAGTAAGATGGTGCAACTCAGCCTAAGTCCTTGTTGAAGTGATTGGGTTTCTGATAAGCGATATAACAATGGAACCATCTCTAATTTACATTCAAGTTCCAGACAGTAGGTATGTATATTTAGAAAACTTTCCTGTTATTCAATCCTTCCCATTCTTCTCGTTCAGTCCAAAATTTGGCCTTCCCTTCCCTTACCTCTGATCTCCACGGAACCCGCGCCGAACAAATTAGTAGACTCGAACATACGCAATGAACCCTTTCATGTTTGAGTTCATGTGAATGTAAATCGAGCACACATGTTCAATCTTTTGGAATAAAGACGCAAAAGGCAAATAATAAAAGCACAGTCTGTTTTCATTTGTTTCTACATTTTCCTACAAACAATTTTGTATAAATACGATTTCTGACTTTTGTGAACTCTTCCAAAGAACATACAGATTTTAAAAGACAATTTAGTCCAGAATAATAAATACTTACTTAAAATTAAAAAGTGGGAAGTGCAATCCATATCATTATAATTCATTTATTCATTGCATCAGTCATCACACCCAAAAATCTGACAAAAGAAATACAAAATTAAAACATCAAAAAGGTAGTCATATCGCGATCTCTTCCAACTAACCCAAATCAATCTGACCGATGATCTTAAGTGTATCTTTAGTCGCCACATTGCTCTGCCATTCTTTGATCAGGTTGAACGGCAAACCATCGATCTACTCGCGGTGGTTCAATTATTAGCAAACGTTACGGACTTTAACTGTCGAATAGACAATAAACACGTGAAAAAACACATAGAGGGCAATAAAGATAAGAGGCGGGCCGGCTCCGGCGATAAAACCGTAGTTACGGCGGGCGGCGTGGCTCTCGGAACTAATCAAATTTTCAACGCCGGACTTTGGCACATGAGAACTAAGGTAGGGCATACAGACAACCTGTGTAGTCTGGCATTATCTAGACATCCGTTACGCAGGGGCATGTGATTTGTTATTTCCCAAATGCTTCAAACAATAAATGCCACTTACCTATTCATTTGATATCTAGCACATACAAATGATTATTCATTTTGATGTATAAACTTAATTACCCTAAACCTAAGCTCTCAATAAAATATTTATAATGTAATATGTGGACATTGCTGTTGGTCATACAATAGTTTAGATAGATAAGTGCAATTCTAGACTAAGACCCATTGTAAGACTGTTTTTTGTCCCAAATAAATGGAAAAAAAAAATTTCAAGTTTTGCCACAACGGACAAGCTCTTTAGCCTGTATCTCACCCGATGGAAAATGATTAATCAGAGTGAATGTGAAATCAAGCTTTACCTCGGTATCAAATTAAATAAACAATTGAAAACCTATAACACCCAGTGCTGCTATAATATTCAAAATACTTAACTCTGGTCCTGATTAATCAAATTTCACTTTTCAGCTTAATATTATTCTGTCACTCCATTTGCTCGATCCCTATTATTAACGTCAAAAACGGCAGCAACAGAAAGTGTATCCTCCTCCAAATCATAATTTTGTACTGAATCATCAGCTGTAAGTTATCATTTCTGTAATTACAGGGATTTTACTAGTCTACAATTTTCCGGAGAGAGACACTAGTTTCACAA